CCCCCCCCCCGCCCCGGTACCGGGAATCAAACTCACAACCTCGCGCTTGCCAGGCAGGTGCTGTGCTGCTGAGCTACATCCCCAGCCCCCTAAATTGCACTCTTGCACTTCTTAATTGGTATTGCTTGTGGTGATCTCTTGGAGATTACATTAAGTTCAGCAACAGATTGTTCTACAAATGCCAGTCTCTGTCCACTACTAGGCACTAGGGCTATAAGTATGAATCTGATTTAGTTCCTCTCCCTGAATTTTATAGGATCTAATGGGATAATAAATACACAGAATAATTTTAGTACATTGATATAAAGGAACTATGCACACTGTTCCATAAGAGGACTACTTAACCCAGCCTGGGGGTGTAAAGAATGCATTTTGAAGATGGCATCTGAGCCGACTCTCACAGGATTGAGTAGGAGTTAGCCATCTGAAAAAGGGTGGTTATGGGGGTGTGGAATAGGGAAGGGAGAGGGGCATTCAAGCAAAGGCAATAGCCTGAAGAAAGGTAGAGAAGTAAATTGCTAAACAAACTGATAATGTTAGAGAATAAAACAGTTAAATGTTGAAGAACAGAAAGTGGAATTTGGTGGGACATGAGGTTGGATCTTGGAAGGCTTGGTGTGCTGCATAAGGAATTTGGAGTGTTCTAGGTAAGGAAGGTTACTGATTTTCTTTTTAAATATTTGATTTCCTGGGATTTATTTTTTCTTTAATTAGAGTCACAAACATAACATTTATGGAACACTTTTTTTTCTTTTTTTTTTTTTTTTTGGAGACCGGGTTTCGCTGTGTAGTTCAGGCTGGCTTTGAACTTACTATATAGCCAAGGCTGACCTGGCCTCAAACTCAAAATAGTCCTGCATCCGCCTCCCGAGTGCTGGGATTATAGGCATACACTGCCATACCCAGTTTAGGGTAGTGATTCTTACACAGGAAAAGTGATGGGGTCTTTTGTGCATGTTAGATAGCTAACTCAGCTAGATGTGGGGAATGGATTTAGGTGGACTAAGATTGATGGTAAGGAGAACTCTTAAAAAAGCAGTTGCAGTAGTCCAAGTGAGGGGCTGGAGATTTAGCTCAGCGGCAAAGCGCCTGCCTGGCAAGCGCAAAGTCGTGAGTTCAGTTCCTGGTACCGGAGAAAAACCAAAATAAAAAAAAAAAAAACCAAAAAAAAAAAAAGTAGTCCAAGTGAGAGAGTATTGGCATGTAAACCATGGCAGTGGCAGTAGAGGTATAAAAGTGGGATAGATTTAAGAAGTAGAAGTAGCATCAGCAGGAATTTAGTATCAGTTGGGTTATTGGAGGTTGTGGTCAGAGGATGGAATAGTACTGGTGATATTGGCAGGGCAGTAAGAATAAATGACTGGAGTGGAGGTGAAAGTTGTCGGACTTGTTGGCTGAAAATGGCTAGGTTATTGGCATTACTGAGGATGACAGAGGAACTTTGTGAATCAAATGCCAAGATATACAATGTATATAGGGGTGTGAAGTTTTGGTGAATATCATTAACTAACCTGAGCAGTTACGCGTTAAGACTCGCTTGGATTTTAAGAAAAATGAAGAGTTTTGGAGGGGTTACGTCTGAGACACAGAGGTCAAGGATGTTTGTGGGTTTTTTTTATTTTTTTTATTTTTTGTCTTTTTGAGACGGGATCCTGCTCTGCAGTGCAGGGTGGCCTTAAAACTCACAGCGCTCCTCCTGCCTCAGCCTGCCGAGTGCTGAGATTATAGGCATGCATTGCTACGCTTGGTGTTTATATCTTTAAAGTCTTTTTCACAACCATTTATATTAGGTTTACAAAGTGATATAGTGTGTGTGTGTGTATGTATGTATGTTACTTGTTAAGAATCCAGTGAAGGGCCGGGGATATAGCTCAGCGGCATAAGCGCCTGCCTGACAAGTGCAAAGTCCTGAGTTTGATTCCCGGTACCAAAAAACAAAATAAAACAAAAAAATCCAGTGAAAAAATATACAGAAATAATAATACGTGTGTGCATTTTCTCATTGGATTCTGTATTTTTCATCCCTGCTTGGTAGATGAGGGCAGAGGCTTTGAAGTTAGTGACTTGTCTAAAGTTACACAGCTGCCAGATATGGTAGTGCATGTCTATAATCTTAGCAGGAGGACTGCAGGTTGGAGCCCAGTCTGGTCAAGTTAGCAATTTAGTGATACCCTGCCTTAAGATAAAAAGGTCTGGGGATGTAGCTCTGTGTAAAGACCCTAGGTTTAATCCCCATTACCAGGTGGCAGAATGTCACATTACTACATAACTTGTTAATAGTATAACATAGCCAGAATTTAAACTAGTTGTAACTAAAGATTCTCAATTTTCTTTTTCTTTTTCTTTTTTTTTTTTTTTGGTTTTGGTACCGGAAATTGAACTCGAGACCTTGCGCTTGCCAGGCTGGTGCTTGTGCCACTGAGCTATATCCCCGGCCCCTCGATTTTCTTATGCACCGTCCATATTAGTTAGGAGGGAATTTCCTATTTTGAAATTCAAGTGTGGTAGTACAGCCTGTAATCCCAACATTTAGAAGGCTGAAGCAGGAGGATCACAAGTTCAAGGCCAGCCTGGACTACATAGCGCTACTCTATATTAAAAACAAACAAACAAGAAACAAACTGAACTGGGGAGAAGAGAAGGCAGAGTTTTAAGTTTTCAAGAGACAAAAATACTGGTTTGGGAACAAGAGGAATAATCAGGGTAATGTATTAACTTTTGCGGAATAAGTAGTACCAAAATTGATACAACATTCTCATTCAGGGGAAGTGCTTGTTCTTCTTCAGTAGAATCTGGACTGAGGGCATCATCTATTAGGTATGGAGTTTGGCAAGCCTTCTTTCTTTCTTTTCTTTTTTTTTTTTTTTTTTTTTTTTTTTGTACCAGGAATCAGACTTATGACCTTGGGCTTGCCAGGCAGGCTCTGTGTTGATGAGCTATATCCTTGGCCCTGTAGGCCTTATTTTTAACAAACACTTTAAAAACATTTAATAAACATGTATTTTTTAAAAACGTGTATGAAGCAGTACCAGGTATGTTAGGCACTAGGATGAATAAAATTGGCTCCTGCCATTGCGCAGCTCACAGGTTCTTGCCCTGTCCTCACAGTGCACTGGGGATTATAGCCGCTGAGCAGAGATTCTGGAAAGCATTGTGTTCCTGAGCCTCCAGCATGGCCGGGATAAAGCGTCGTGCAAGCCAGGTGTGGCCAGAAGAGCATGGTGAGCAGGAACATGGGCTGTACAGCCTGCACCGCATGTTTGATATTGTGGGCACCCACCTGACACACAGAGATGTGCGTGTGCTTTCCTTCCTCTTTGTTGATGTCATTGATGACCATGAGCGCGGACTCATCAGAAATGGACGTGACTTCTTGCTGGCTCTGGAGCGCCAGGGCCGCTGTGATGAGAGTAACTTTCGCCAGGTGCTGCAGCTGCTACGCATCATCACTCGACATGACCTGCTGCCCTACGTCACCCTCAAGAGGAGAAGGGCTGGTGAGGGTTTTTGGGTGGCTGGGAACCCTGGAATCAGGAGAGTTCTGGGAAGCCTGGAGTGAGCAGCATAGGAGTTCAGGCGGGAGGAGGGCTTGATGTTGGGGAGTACCTAGGATAAATCTTGAGACCCACTGGAAGAAGTGAGGGGTGTACTTTCTCCTGAATGACTTTTCTCCCCACTAGTGTGCCCTGACCTTGTAGACAAGTATCTGGAGGAGACGTCAATTCGCTATGTGACCCCAAGAACCCTCAGTGATCCAGAACCGAGGCCTCCCCAGCCCCCTAAAACAGGTGAGAAGATATTATGCCTAATTTGCATAAGTAAGCAAGGGGACACTGATCTCATCGTATTCCTGGTTTTGCCAGCTTACATGAAAGGATGCAGTCTGCTCACATCTAACACCATAAAATCGGGTGAGGTGTGAATGCTTCATCTTTGCCCTGTGTTTGCTCTAACATTGTGTCCTTTCAGGTCACAGTATTGATAATGCTTTCAGTGCTCAGTCTAAATGTTTCCTTCCACATTCCCAGAAGAGTGTTTGAATTTCTGCCTTTACTGTATTTTCTTTCCTTCTGCTTTCTGGTCAGTGCCTCCCCATTATCCTGTGGTGTGCTGCCCCACTTCGGGTCCTCAGATGTGTAGCAAGCGGCCAGCCCGAGGGAGAGCCACACTTGGGAGTCAGCGGAAACGCCGGAAGTCAGTGACACCAGATCCCAAGGAAAAGCAGACATGTGGTGAGGAAGTTCATGGATTCCAGAGGTGGAGTAATCTTGAGGGAAAATGGGAAGAACTGTTGGGATACTGGGCAGCTCATGTTTTCAAAGCAAAGCTCACATTGATTGCTGTTGCAAAGTGAGGTTAAATGGTTTAGTCCCCAGAACTCTTTTGTCTTCATGGCAGGATACATTTCAACTCTTTGGAGTTAATACTCAAAAGGGTGCCAATATGACATCCTTACTGCAAGAGGAATCAAGTATTAAAATGAACTGTGATGGGGCCGGGGGTATAGCTCTCAGTGGCTTAAGCGCTTGCATGGCAAGCCTGAGGTCATGAGTTTGATTCTCGGTACCAAAAAATAAAATAAAGTAAAATGAACTGTGATGCCTGTAATTAGGAAACCATCTCTTACAAGCAAGGTGCTGTTTTTGCGTGATAGGAATAAGGTGACCTGGGCATTTAGGGAACCTCCTGCATTTAGCCAAGGATTTCAGAGTTTTGTAGAGAAAAACTTACCATAGGGAAGAGGTAGAGAAGCTGTCAGGTCATGTTCCCTACTTTGCTATTCTGTTCTTTTTAGCTTTCAAAAGCTAAAAAGAGTTGTAACTTAGTCTTCCCTATAATGTCTTCTGCTCTGTCTTTCTTTCCCACAGACATCAGATTGCGGGTTCGGGCTGAATACTGCCAGCACGACACTGCTCTGCAAGGCAACGTCTTCTCTAACAAGCAGGACCCACTTGAGCGCCAGTTTGAGCGCTTTAGCCAGGCCAACACCATCCTTAAGTCCCGGGACCTGGGCTCCATCATCTGTGACATCAAGTTCTCTGAGCTCACCTACCTCGACGCATTCTGGCGCGACTACATCAATGGCTCATTATTAGAGGCACTTAAAGGTGTCTTCATCACAGACTCACTCAAGCAAGCTGTGGGGCATGAAGCCATCAAGCTGCTGGTGAATGTGGATGAGGAGGACTATGAGCTGGGCCGACAGAAACTCCTGAGGAACTTGATGCTGCAAGCATTGCCCTGACCCTTCCCCTTCTCACTTCTCGGGGACTGTTCCCACCACCCGCCTCTGGAGCTTACATACTGTTCTGGGGTTTGTTCTCTGCCCTTCCAACCAATCACACCCCTGCCTTTTTTTTTTTTAAAGGAAAAGACAAAGCGTGGAAGTGGTGTTCCCCAGCCCTCTCCGCACCCATGTGCCTGGGCTTACCCTGGTTCCCATTCCCACCTACCCCAATGTGTGTCTGCAGCCACCTCACCACTGAGCCGTAAGACAAATATGTAGGGAGATGCAAAGTCTATAGGACAGTCTTTGTAGGGGATTGAAGTGAACACTGCTTTGGGGTACATTGAGGGGTTATCAATACTTCTGGCTTTATGAGGGCTCTTAAATTTTGTCTGAAAAACCAAAGGGCTGTGAGTAAGGGAGCTGTATGGAAGGTAGGATTCTGAAGTGTATTTTGGAAATTAATCGCTACCCTCTTCCAAATTACAGAATTTTTTAAGAAACAGAAGCTGTGGCCCTTTCCACTCTCTCCTGGCCTCTGGTGCTGCTCCTCTCTGCCGCCTTTTCTCCATTCCAAGGCTTGAAACTGCTGCCTGGTGTGGCTCCTTCCTTTCTCCCCTTTGTCAAACCCTCTTCAAGGGAGTAACATAAGAGAACTCGGTCAGCCTCGTCACCCCTCCCAGCTGTGCTCTGTGTGTGTACGCACACACAGGGTAGATGGGGAAGAGGATGCTGACTGAAATACACTCCCCCTGAAAAGGGGAAGGGGAGTGTGACACTTTCCATGTTTAAGTGAAAATAAATAACATACCTGCAGCCCTTCTCCCCTTTGCTTTCTTCTGGCTGGGCAAAGGGCACCACAGGAGAAAGTGAAGTAATTCAGTATTGACTCCTCCTTTTTCCTTCCCTCTCTTCTACCCATCCTCCCACTCCCAGGCCTGGGAGAATGGGGCTGGGACATGCACTGAGTGTTGCACTTTTTTTAGGTAGGGAGATATGTTGAGTGAGCCAGGAGGCCTAGAACTGGAGCCTAGTCTAACAGGTACAAGACCACCTCCCCATCCAGCTCCCAAAGGAGATGTCCAGACACAGACTTTATGATTATTATATTTTTTTTCAATGCTAGTGCTGGTCAGCCCTCAGCGTAACTTCAGTTTTCATGAAATAAACAATGACTATATAAAATTCCACTTTTCTGAAGCTGAAATCTGAGCTCAGGTGAAAGCCTTTTCCTTTCCCCAAGAAGTTGAACCTGTGTTCCATGAAGACACTCAAGGTTTCCCAAGTGAGGGGAGCTGTGCTTGGGTCCTGCCTACAATCACAGCAGCACCACCTCACAGTGGGGGTCTCAATTTGCACAGTCAAAAACCTTACGACAGTGGGTGACCCAGGTTGCCATAGAGGTCAGGCCTGCGGTGCTGAAACACAGGCATATGTTGGCGAACCTGTTGCAGGTAGTTGAGGTTGATTCGAGCGAGGCAGAGGCCTGGTCCCTCAGAGCAGCGAGCCACAACTGTTCCCCAAGGGTCCACCACCATGCTGTGGCCATAACTTGCTCTCTTTTCATGGTGGCGTCCACACTGTGCTGCTGCCACTACATAGCACTGGGTTTCAATGGCACGGGCCCTCAGCAACACCTGAGGAGATGAGAAACACACTCAAGAATGTAGAGCAGCTAGTAGGGAAGTGACAGGAGATGAACACTACCCACTGTGGCCATTCTGATAATTGCCCAGGAATGATCTTGTGATTTACTACATTATTCTATAACATACAAGCCACAACACTCTGGGGCATGAATTTTCCCAGTAGGTAGGACAAGGAAGAAAATCATTCCACTTGTAAAGTCAAGGGGTGGGGAGCAATTGAAGTTAAGAGAAAATCCTTGTTTTGAACAGGCATTCTCTTACCTCCCAGTGGGCTGGGCCTGTAATAGATCCAAAAGCTGAAGGATAGGTAAGTATTTCTGCTCCAGCTTGAGCCAATGCCAGAGAGAGTTCAGGGAACCGCATGTCATAGCAGATAGCTAGACCAATCTGAAATGAAAAGCAGCCATACTTAGCATCCCTGTTCTGTTTGTCCCAGCATCTAGTATGTCCATGATCCCACTCCTTAGACTTTTATCTTGTGTTACCATTCCATTGTGTTCCTATTCCCCTCCCTCTTCCTCTGCCACCTTCATTCTCACAACTCCTACCTTGCCTGCTGGGGTGCTGACAGGTGACTCAAGACTGGGCCCAGGTATGGTAGAGTTGCTTTCACGCATAGGTCCCTGCCCCGGAAGCTCTACATCACACAGATGCGTCTTCCTGTAAGTGGCCACTACTGATCCTAGGGTAAGAGGGAGAAGAAATACTGCTGGTGCTTTAGATGCTGAGTTTAGCTACTCTTCTTCCTAAAGAGAAGACAGATTATAGGCTAAGAACAGAAGTGCAAGCACCCCTAAAACCTTGGGCCAAGAAAACAGAGGAATGAAACGGTTCCAAAGATCTGAGTTTAGGTACAGGAGCCTGGGAAGAGGAAGGCTAAAGGGTTATGAAGTCTCACCCTTGCTGTTCAGAAGCACATGACAGTTGTAGATTTTCTGAGTCTGCTCCCAGTCTTGGCCACGCTCATGGAAACCACCCAAGGACAGCCAGAGTCCACATTCCCTGGGGGGGAGGGGACACTGACAACTCTTCTTAAAGCTCTACCCTTATCTGACAATCCAGGGACGTGGGCCAACAAACATTCTACTTCCTCCCCATTCCCTGATACCTGGCAAGCTGGGTATACTCTTGCAGAAGGTTCCCACCCAGTGGCTCGGACAGGCGGAGTGTCTCAGCAGGGTCCCGTGCAATGAAGTCAAATGCCTCAGGCAGGAAAGCAAGGCAAGCACCCAGTCGGGCAGCCTCCCGAACCAGCTCAGCACATGTTTTAAAGTTCTGTTGCTTGTCTGGTGTTGATGTTACCTGGCACACAGCTACTAGGGGCAGTTCCCAAGAGGATGAGGAGCTAGCCATGGCTCTGGGCCTGTGGATGGCATAGGCAGGATTCTCAGATTTCCTAGCATGGAGAAATCCAAGTTTAATGACGGTTTTAAATCAGGAGGCAGGAAAACTGGACTTCCTTCTGACAATGCTCTTAGAGAAAATACTAACCCAGGGCCAGTGGGGTAATCTACCAAATTTCTGTGGATGGCTGAAGCCTCCTATCAACCAGTTAACACTGAACATCTACTATGTGGCAGGAACTGAGGACAAAACAAAACATGTTACCTGGGCTGAGCACAAAGTACTGAGAGTCTACGTATCCGGAGTCCAGGACACAGAAGGGACTGCAGCTGGTTGGTGATGAAGCCCAGCCTGAGGAAGGTGAGAAATCAGGACATCAAATCCCCCTTCAAGCAATACATTTTTAGGGTTCTCTTTTGTCTTCTTTCATGTTGTGAGTCTGAATCAGGGCCCTGTCAGTAAAGGCATCCCCAAGTCTTCAAAAACATTTTTTACTGTAAGTACGGGCTATGAGAGGAGATCCTAAGGTAAGAAGATGGAGGAGGGGACTATCTGCCAAACGCTTCCGCAGTCCAAAAGTCACCTCGGGAAAACCTGAATTTTCCCGAGTCTCTCTCTCGGTTGTGCGCACGCACAGTTTATTGACTCCAAGCATATTTCCCCCCCTTACACCACAACATCCTCGGGGAAGTTCCCCTGCCCTCGCCCCCACCACCCCAACGTGGGCAGGGGCACAGGACCAGACCCCAGCCCGAGCCCGCCCTCTACGGGTAGCCCGCCTTCCCCGCCTTTCCCTGGGGCGGGAATTTCTGTTGCACAACTCAAAGCACCGCAGATGGACTTCACCGCAGCAGGTGGGGTAGGGAGTAGGTCCTACATGAAAACGCGGCCAAAACCATTCACAGGACCGGATCCGAACAGCTGCCTAGAGCCAGCGGCACGGAGGCGAGGGGGCGGTAACTCCCGGACCGGATATGACGTAGGCGGAACGGCGCTGCACAGGCCGGAAGCCTGGCAAGCGGCGAAAATGGCGGAGAGCAGCGGTCGCACCGGCAAGAGCAGCGGGAGTGGCGCGGGGAAAGGGACGGTGTCGGCCGAGCAGGTGAGGGGCCGAGAGCGTGCCGGAGGGCACCTGGCGGGGTCTGGTGTCGGTGCGAGGCGGAGAGGTGGTGTCTGCGGCTTGTGCTGGCCTTTACTCCATCACCACGTTACGTAGCCATCCGGAGGGGAGGGTCTTCGGAGAAGCCAGCACAGCCTCTAGGGAGAGAGTAGGCGGGTGGGTAGGTGAGAGCCACGCCCCCGGGTGCCGGGGAGTCTAGGGGAGGAGGAAGCCTGACACGCGGGAGCTGGGAAGATGCCCATGTCTGAGGGCAGGTGGGTCGTAGCTCTCCTCACCACTCCTCAGCGCCCTGAACGCCATATGGCTGGCTATGGCAGCTCGTAAAGAAACCCGTAGTCAGTGGCGTGTTGTGTAGTCTGTTACGTGATCCTGAAACCACGTTGACAGTCACCGTCATTCTGCAGAACCACGTGACTCGCGTACTCCGGCAGTCCAGGGTTCTATACTGTTGTGATTCGGGACTCATTAGTGGATTGACTTTCTTTAGAGACCATCGACCCTAACACTTTCCTGACGTGGGGAAACTTGTGGCGAGGCAAATTAATCAGAAGGCCCGCTGTGGCCTTGGAAGTGTGGGTTGCTAGTAGTAGGGCTAGCGTTTAATCGGAATAGGAAGAAATCTCCACGATAGAAATAAAAATTGTTAGCAAGTTCACTACAGGTCTGTAATTTTTATGTCTTGGTGCCAGATAAGACATGGTGGTATATACATGACTGTCCCATCAGGCGGCTTTTTCATTATTTTTATTAGTAAAAGGACCGATAAAATTGATAAGATCCGTTTGTACCACCTGACCGGCCCATGGGACAATCTTGCATGTACTATTGGTGGTTCAAACCAGCCGGAAGGTGTTCAGCAAATTACAGTATTTTATTTTATTTTTTGGAGACAGGGTCGTACTATGTAGTTTAGGCTGGCCTTGAACTCACTGTGTAGCCCAAATTGGTCTTGAACTCAGTGTGATCCTGCCTCAGCTGGGATCACAGGCATGTGCCACCACACCCAGCTAGGAAGAGTATTTTATTTATTTATTTTTCTTTTTTTGGGGGGGTACAGTATTTTAATCATGTTCACTAATCAGTTATTTATTGAACAATTAATATAGGAAGAGATTTTTGTAAAGATTTTTTAAAAGCCTCCTGTAGTTGGGCATGGTGGCCCAGGGCTGTAATTCCAGCACTCAGGGAGGCTGAGGCCAGAGGATCACAAACAAGTTGGAGCGCAGTCTGGTAATTTATTCATTTAGGCAGACCTTGTCTCAAAATATAAAAGTGCTGGGCTTTTTGGTGCACACCTATAATTGCAGCACTTGGGAGGCTTTTTTTTCTTTTTCTTTTCTTTTGGTACCGGGAATCAAACTCGGGACCTCGCGCTTGCCAGGCAGGCACTTGTGCTGCTGAGCTATATTCCTGGCCCATCACTTGGGAGGCTGAGGCAGGGGGATCACTGAATTCAAGGCTAGCCTGAACTACATAGTGAGACCCTGTCTCAATAAACTAAAATTTTATTTATTTATTTATTTATTTATTTATTTATTTTTGGTTTTGGTACCGGGAATTGAACTCAGGACCTTGCGCTTGCCAGGCAGGTGCTTATGCCACTGAGCTATATCCTTGGCCCTAAAAATTAAAAAAAAAAAAAAAAAAAAGCATTAGAGATGTAAGTTAGTATGAAGGCTCAGAGTTCCATACCCAGTGCATGTGTGTGCACACATGTGCACACACACACACACAAAAGTAAAAATCCAAAACTGTCTTCTGCCAGCAAGGAGCATAGGCTCGAGGTAAGTGCCATATGCAAAAAGATAGTATGAGGTAGAAGCAGTTTTTGGTTTTTGGCAACTGGGATTTACCCCAGGGCCCCAAGCAAATATTCTACTTACTGCTGAGCTACATCCCCAGCCAGAGGATAAGTTATCTAAGAAAAGCATAAAGTGCCGTGGGATTTAGGGAAGAGAGGAGGAGTTGGTTTATGACATAGTAAAGTGAAAGAACCTCATATTTTTTGTGGGTCTGTCATGTTGTAGGCCAGTGATGTTGAACTTTTTAGAGCTTCATTGATAATCTCAGCTGCAGCATGCTTGCCAAAGGCTTGCCACCACTGTAGCTAGGCATTCTGCTGCATACAAGGAAACAAACAAATGAAACAGTTACATGTTGCTCACAGACTCATTTCAGAAAAGACAATAAAGATTTGTGTCCTTTCTTTATGACAGTACAAAAGAGACTCCTACCTAATCAAGAGGCCATGGGATTTGGCAGGTGGGTGGAAAGGGAGACTGTGGTGTAGTAGGGTGGATAGGAGCATTCTTATGTACTGGGCTCAGACCTGGCTTTGACTTCGTTTCACTATTACTATTTATATATGACCTCCCCTGAGTTACTGCTCTGAAATCCTGTCTGTAAAAAACTTAATAGCATCTACCTCATTACTGTATTTAGAGTATTAGGCAAGACAACTCATGTAAACTTCTATACAGTGGTTAGAATACAGTATTAATAAATTCTAGTTAGGTTTTGTTTTTAGAAGAGAAACTTCTTCAGCTTAATTCTAAAGGTTGAGAAAAGTTAGTCAAGCAAAGGAAGAAGTGGAACATTGCCTAGATAGAGCTAATAATTTGTCAAAAAGCATTAAGGTATGAGACTGCCTGGTAGTTTGGAATGCAGGTGGATTTAAAATTTGAGGGGGATTGCAAGACTTGAATATTAGGAAAAAGGATACAAGAGGAATATAAGATGTCTCTCAGGTTTCTGTCTTTGGGTAGGTAGTAGTGCCATAGGGAATGCTGGGAGGCCAGCATGTTTGGGGAGAGAGATAAATTCATTTTAGGATTTTTGTTAAATTTTGAAAAAATTTTTGTTTTTGTTTTTGAGACAAGGAGGATCTCGCTGTTTAGTCCAGGCTGGCCTTGAACTCCCGGCAGTCCTCTTGCCTCAGCCTCCCAGGTGCTGGGATTACAGGCATGGGCCATCACACCTGTCTAAAATTTTTTTTTCTTTTTAAATTTTGAGACAAGCTCTCACTGATTTGTCCAGGCTGGTCTTACACTTGTGATCCTCTTGCCTCAACCTCTGATGTAACTAGGATTATAGACATGTGCCACTTTGCCTGTCTTGGTTTATAAATTGTAATAAGCAAGTTAGAGATATGATTGTGGGATTGAACTTTTGAGTGGTAGAAAAAAACATGGTTGTAGATGAAAATCATAATTTTCTGTAGTTTGTACAGAAAGTGAAAAAAGAAATAGGACAAAGGGGGTTGGAAAAAGTTTTTTAAGAAGACTGGGGAAATGATTCTAAGCCTGTTGCATTTTGTTTTATTGAGACATGGTCTTGCTATGCAGTTCAGGTTGGCCCCAAACTCATAGCAATCCTCCTGCCTCAGCCTCCCAAGTGCCACCACACCCTGCTAAGGCTGTTTCTTTTTTTGGAGGGCAGGGAGACTGGAAATCGAACTCAGGACCTGATGTTTGCCAGGCAGGTGCTACACCACTAAGCTAAATCTCCAGCCCCAGGCAGATTCTTGATTAATGTTCTCTGGCCTTTATGTTCCAGAGAGAACACTGAGTAAAAAATATTTTTTTTTTTTTTTTTTTATCACTGCTGCAAATGTGAGCCACACATGTCCTTTACAAATAAAATGGAAGTGAGCAACACATTGTGCTAGACCCTGTTTTTATCATCTGTTAATTATTGCCATTTGAAATGAGACTGGAATTTCAGAGGCTTTGGATAACTTGGCCAAAGTCAGTAACTGGAATAGCAGGCCTTTTAATTGAGAGAATTGAGAATCAGACAAATTTTTTTCCATGTATACCATGATTATACTCGGGCTAATTGAGCTGAGCCCTAAAATAAATAGGTGGCAGTGGAATAGAAAATAGGGAATAGGGTAGGAAGAGGAGAGTTGGGGAAAGCATAGATTGACATAAACTTTAGTATCTGATTAGTATAGCTAAGTCATGAGGTACAGTATAAGTTAGAACGATATACTCCTACCTGGAAATGATGGGGAATGCCTGTAATCCCACTACTGAGGATTACAGTACTGGGAGGGTGAAGCAGGAGGATCACAAGCTTCAGCCCAGTGTGGATAATTTAGCAACTCAAAATAAGAAATGGAAAGCCGATGTGGTGGCACATGCCTGTAATCCCAGCACTGCAGAGATTGAGGCAGAATGATTGCCAGAAGTTTGAGGCCAGCCTGGGTTACATAGTGAGTTTAAAGCTAGCCTGGACTACACAGTGAGACCTTGTTTCAAAACACAAAAGAAAATCAAATAAGAAATGGAAAAGAGTTGGGGATGTAGCTCAATGTGAAAGCCTTGGTTTTAATCCCCAGTGGGACCTACGGGGGCGGGGGGTGGTATGTGTCCTTACAGCATGTTAAATAAGGTCTTTGAGTGCATAGCAAAGAATTTGGGACTTTTGAGCCAGGTGTGGTGGCACACGCCTGGTGAGGGACTTTCTTAATATAAGTACTGAGGAACTTACAAAAGGGTATATATTGTGCTATTATTGTTTTTTCTACTATATAAAATAATACATGGTTACCTTAGGAAATGTAGAAAACACAGGAAAAAGTACAAACTAGGAAATAAGTCACCCATAATCCTACTATCAAGTGGTAACTATTCTTACCATTTTGGAGTATTCCCTTTGAGGGGTCTCCCCTTTCCTTTATGCCTTTGTATATATGTGTGTGAACAGAAAGGGAGGCATCTTAGTCCATTTCCTGTTGCTATAACAGGATACCAGCAACTGGACGACTGTAACTTGTGGATGTTTGGGGACCCATAGGCACAGTGTCAGCATCTGGCAAGGCTATCATAGCATGGGAGAAAGTGAAGGGAC